AGCCGCAAAGTCATCCGTACGGATTAATAGCAAGAGAAATCAAATCCCGCGCAATTATCCCACGTGTCACGTAATCGTGTAATCGCGTCCCTCATTAGTACGGGAGAATTATGACAGAGCATCTCGAGACGCGAGAGATTCACCCCCCCCCCCTTCGGAGGAGATTGCGCGGTTTACGTTACCGCGGGAAGCGTGACTGAAACTGTCGCTCTCTCCCGAGGTGTTTCTCGTCCCTTCAGATAGAGGCGAATAGAGGCAAACGACACACCGGCCTCTTTCTTACCCACCCCGCCCGCCCCCCCCCCTATCCCCGCGCGACCGTCCGTTAGGGACGCGCACGGGGTTGCCGGCCTCCGGCGAGTCCCAGCTGATTCCGAATTTTATCTCCCCCCTGGACCACTCGGGGGCGGTCGCCGTCCCGATGGAGCTAGACGGTGTGACGCCGTGCAGTCTCGGGGCGGATTTTCACCCTCGGAACAACACACCCGGAGGTTACACACCACCGTCAACCCTCCGGACCGCCGCGCCGACCCGCCGCGTGCTCCACTCTACGCCGCGCCGAGGGCGAGCGCCCCGGCGATCGAACATCGATCGCGATGCAAACGAGGCGGGAGCGGACCGAACGAGTGATCTCAAAATGTGTGTATAAGTGAAGAGGAAAAGAGCAAGAAGGAGAGAGTGAGAGAGAGGGAGGGGGGGAAAAGAAGAAAGAGAATTTTATAGCGTATAAATTATCGCATGATTTACTGTATATTTTTGTAACACGTATTTGTATATATTCACCGAGTTATGTATATTTTTAAATTGTATTTAGGATATTTAGGATATTGTTCGACAACATTTCTATTCTATTTATCGCGTAATCGTTTTTTTTTTAAATATCCAAAGACAAAGTCAGTGGAAGAATTTATGGGGCGATCTCGATCATTCTCCCCGATCGCGACAGCTCTCCTCGCTCACTTACGCACGACGTGCCATTCACCCTCGCGCATCTACCATCCTCCGTTATTCCCCCTGTCGCGCGAGAAGGTTAATCAGAAAAAAAGCAGATCGCCCGCCGGACTTTTATCGATTCTCCGACCGAATGTTGGGCCCCGAGTGCAGCCTTGACAGTCGGCATCGGTCGACAGAGGGGAGGGGGCGGGGAGGGTAGAACGCGGACGAGTGGGACGCAGGGGGATGCATGGGAACCACCAAAATTGGAAAGGCAATAAGGGTGTACCGGAGGGTGCACCTCTATCGCTTCACGGGGGTTGCCTAGCGACCCCAGCATCCCGTTCCCTTCCCTATCCCCGCGACCCTCTCACCCCTTCCGCGCTTACCCCTTCGCAACCCTTCCCGCCTAACCACCACCGCCGCTCGCCCCGTCCCACTCTCCCGGTTCATCCACTTCACTTTTTTCTCCTCTCCTCCCTCCCCTTCCGCCCATCATTCGCGTATCCGTACAGCGGAATACCGATGCTCTCTTTTTCTCCCGTCGCGCAATCCCCCGCTCTCGCATCCTTGGTCCACCTCTCACACCGCTCGCCTCATCCGCCTGTTTTCTCTGTCACTCTCCTTCCCCCGTTCGGCGCTGTACGTCCGCGAAGGAACCCCCGGGTTTTATTCCCCGCCCGGAAACTATGCTTCCTCGCCCCCCCCCCCCTGGTGCACCTGCAGCTCGCGAGGGTGTATCCTCTTCCTCGGCGAACGTCGCTCACTTTCTGCACCTTTTCGGTCCTCGCTTGCATCTGATACTTCCACCCTCTCACTTCCTAGCCTCACAGGAGCCTCTCTCTCGCCTACTCTCTCCCTCCTCTCTTCTCTCTCTCTCTCCCCTTCTCTCTCTCTCTCTCTCTCTCTCTCTCTTTCTCTTCCACCGGGAGAGGACGTAGCTACAGCTCCGGAGGCCGTGGCCCGAATTCTATCGACCCGTGGCACGCTACGCCACGCCACGCCACGCTACGCTACGCCACGCCACGCCACGCCATGCCACGCTACACGCCACTATCAACAGAGAGAAAGAGAGAAAGAGACAAAGAGGAAGATGCAAGTCCTCGGCTTCATTCAACCACCCCTTAGAAGACTCGAAAGATTGCGGCTACGCGCGCACGTGTTGCGGGCCCCGAAACTCGGCCGAAACGTCATCGAGTCGAGCGAGGGGGTTGTACGATGGAAAAATTAACGAGCGTTTACGCTTTTCCTAGATCGCTCTCAATTTCTCTCTTTCTCTCCCTCTCTCTCTCTCTCTCTCTCTCTGATCAATGAGCTATTAGTAGAAGATAAATTTTAATTTGAGTATGTAAACAATACGTTTGGACAAAAACGATATTAGTAATGATAACACGAATAGCAGTTACTTTTTGTGTGTAATAAAAGTGGAAATGAAAATAAAATAATGTAAATGGACGTCCATCCGTTCGCTGGTTCACCTCTTTTCTGCTTATATTACAAAATAATTTTTGTGCAACATCACACATGTTGAATTAAACTATTCAAAAAAACTTTTATTAAAGCACCCGTTGTTACATGAATTTTGTTTTCCCACGCGATTTCTCTAGAGATAGAGATCTAAATTGACAAGGTGATCAATTGAAAAATGTTAGAGTTTGTCGCGATTTAAACGTCGAAAATGGGTCAAACGGGTCCCGGCGGAGTAGCGGGCTTAATAGGAAGTCGATGCTACCCGAGTGAGAATCTGACAGTCGGGATTTCGTTGAGATTCGATTAAACAGAAATATAAATAATCCCATGATAGGCCGCGAGCTATAAAAATCCGGCTGTCGGCGCCGCGAAAACGAACGGAGGACCGATCAGGGAAGTTTGGGGATTGGCCGAAAAGCCTGGGCCAATTCCCTCTCCCGGGAGAGGAAACGAGACGTGGACGATCGTCACACGTCTGGCGAGAGAGAAGGAGAAAGAGAGAAAGAGAGGGCCCGATAACGGCCTCGGGCAATTTAATCCAGACATAAAAAATAATCCCTTTGATTCTGTCGGCGCTCTCGGCGCGGCGCGAGCCCGCGCTGGAAATTCGCCAACCGTCACGGAAACTTCCCTTTGTCGCTGCGATGGCCGCCGCTGCTTTTGTGCCATCGACAACAGTTTCGATTCAATCCGTGGGCTGGCTATTACACGGCATGCCCCAGACCTATTTTTCAGTCGCAGATTGGCAAACGCTTTTCGTTACCGTCCGGTATCTTAACATTCACGAATTTGATTTACACTCGGCTGCGTTGTACACTTATAGTATTTTCAACCTAACAGCACGCACGATATTCTGTACTGCTATAGAATGTGCTAAGAATACTCTGATAAGATTCCTGTAACATTGTATACTTTTGCCGACATCCTCAGAATCTATCGACAAGAATCGTTTAGTCGCAAGTTAAATGCCCAAAGAAATGTACATCTATCAGTAATCAATATCTACTTTATAATCATTTTGAGCATGTTCAAAACTCCGTGTTTATTTGTAGAAACAATACCCGCATTTATTTATATGTCTTTAAATCTCTAATAAATGAATCTATTAATTGATTTCTTTCTACGTCTCCACGTACGTTACCATTTTGTTATAGTATTTCAACGTTTGTTTTTTCAAGTTACAATGTGTTTCCAAATTTAGAAATTGTCAATTTTTTACACATTTCTCTTCTGGATTTTCAATTTTCTTCTCACTTCCTTTTTGTCCACGAAGCATCTCGTGGACAAAATCTCGATAGGATGTCTTCTTGATCGATACGCTGCTCATCACATGAACGTTTCCACTTTCGTTGACCGAGCGTTGTTGCCTTCCTCCTCCCTCGTTCTCAAAACTCGCAAATCCCGTCGGCTCTCCGCAGGAGCCGCGGGGATTCCGGTCATCTAACAGCAGGTGGCTATTAGACCGACCTCGTCCTCGTCGTCCGAGGACTTTTACCGTCCCCGAGGACGTTTCTACGGCCAGAATTCGATTTTCTCGAGTCGTCCCGGGACGTCTCCTCACGACGAGATCAAGATAATCCCGCTGATCGCGGCTCATCTCATATCGACAGGCTAAAGTGCGTCACAGGACGATACTTTTATTAGCCCGTGGCACTTACCGGCGCTTGAAAGCTCCGAAGCTGATTTCACGCTGCAACCGCTCTAAAAAAACTATAGCTCTATCTTTTGGAAAGGCTTTAGAGATGCCCGTCTTGAAATTATATTTTTCAAACTGGAATCCAATCCAAATAGGCCGGGAACAATATCTCGAAATCGATCCGAATCTCCGCGAAGATATAAAATAGACGTTGCACCCAGTACAGGCGAGCAATGCAAAATCCAAGGACCCCTTTCCAAAGCTCGCCATTTTACTATTCTCGTGTTTGCAATAGCCATTATCGGCGTGAACGATAGCCTCGGTCATAGAGAATAAAAAGCACTCTGATTTTTTGATACTATGCGAGGAGCGATCATGGGTATTGTCAAAGGTTTTTTTCCGCATCGCTTCGCTCATATACCATTGTGTCTTGAATGGCAATGGCCCTGTACACACGAAAAAAAAGTCCGAATTGTCCAAATCCAACGCGATAGAAAAAGTTTAGCTATAAAAACCGCTCCAGCTATACAGAAATTTGCGAAACGACCATTTTTTTACCGATATCCAGAGGCAGAATCGATCTCTGCGATAAAATTGGAAATGATCCATTTATCCTGCCTTGCGATATCGCGTCTTCTTTCTTTTCTTATTTGACTTGTGACGCATATTAATTTCAAGCCACGTATGCGAATGTCGCGTTGTGTGCGTCAGTTTAATTGCGTTACACATTTTCATTTTCCAGTCGAAATAAACGAGTCTGGCGATTCGTATTTTTTTTGTCTATCACGCAAATATCTATGGATATTGATTGCGCGTTCGTTCTTTTTTTTCCCCCTGTTTTCGCGCGCGCGATGCGAAAATGCTGACGGAGTTATTTATGAAGGAATTTACGGGAAATAATCCCGTGGAAAAATCGCGAATATTTTGCGCTGCGACATTGCAGGGCTTATAATCTCGCCGGATGAAGTTGCCAGGTGGAACTTTCCACTTTTCCCCAACAGGAAAGGAACTTTCGAACTCGTGGGACCTCGAGGAAATTGGGAAAGGTGAGTGGAGATGATTATCAGAGAGCCCCGAGATCGAAATAGTTCGAGGTAATCAACGATATTGGTCGGACATGCTTCACAAAGTCGAATTTAGAAGTGTACTCAAATTAATAGCATAATAATGAAAATATTGGCGTCGATGGAGGAAATTACTGTTGAAGCAATAAACAATAATGCCATAAATCAATATAAATTATTTAAAGAGTAATGTTTTTTTTCAATTGAAGGTATCAAGTCCAAACTCTATTTTTATAATTCTTGGATCTGGAGCAAACACGTTAATTTAAAACAATTTGTTCTAAGCCTTAATAAATTTTACCGAATGAATTATGCAGTAAAAGAATACGCGGTATGTACATCCCATACATAGATAAACTGCATTTTCCCCTTGTCGTTTAATAATCCTCATTTTAATGTTAACAGGAACTTAATTTCGCAAATTTTATTGAAATGGCTATTGTTTATCCAATAATTTTGATTACTGTTTTGCGCAACGACGTCATGTATTTACATTTTTGTTGAAACATTTTGAACCGCGTCTCACCACTGTCTTTTGGAAGTCTCTGAAGTGCCACGACCGTGCGCGCTTAATTAGAAAATCGACTTAATCGTTCATTCATCGAGAATGCCGTCATTCGAAATCCTGTCTCATCCCCCTTCCTCCCCCATCATTCTCGCGCGAGTCTCCGGAAAGAGACCTCGTGACCGTAGGTAGCAGGCACTCACACGCGCGTAGAATTTGAAGGATGGGCGAAGGGAAGAAAAACTGCTCGTAGGATCTCGTTTTCCGGGTTACGCTAGGTGGGTGGCGGGAAGAGGATGAAACGAGGAAGGAGTGTGTCCTCCCCCCCCCTCCCCCCCGGGGAAGACAAAGAAAGAAACGTGGAGAAACACGTTACCCCACCGACGGCGTTCCGCGAGAGATGACAAAGGAGGGATGAGGGCGGAGGATCGAAGAGAACGAGGGGTAAGAGGCGCGAAGAATTTAGGAAGGAAGGAAGGAGCCTGGATCTCTCCTCTATTGAAGGTTGCTCGTGGTAGGGGGAGGTCGTACGCCCTTGAACGAAGACGGGGCAACCTGACCCTACGGCGTACGTTTCTCCCGCCGCCCCCTTTCAGCCCCCTCGCTCCCACCCTCCCGAGCGAGACCAGACGAACGGCCGGCGCTCTCGGAGAACACCTCGATGACGACGACGGCAACGACGACGACGACGACGACGACGACGATGCCTTGATTTTCTGGGTAACGCTTGCGCCTTGGAGAACTGCTATCGCTCTCCGCTTTCCCCTTTCTTTTCTCCGCTTCGAAAGTCAGCAGCCGACTCCGTTCATTCCGTTGGAGGGTGGAAAATGCGCGCCAGGGATGGCAGGCACGTCGAGAGGAGCCCCGGAGTCGCGCTTTTCGGGGGTGGTTATCGCGCGAGGAGGCTCGCCACCCCCCTCCCGGCCGCCCCGCCGACGGTGGGGGCGCACTCGTCCTCCGGAGGGACGACGGCGGCTCCGGAACCAGGGGGGTGTACGTACACATACACAAACACACACACACACGTACACATCGCACGCGCAGGGGTGGAAACGGGACGGCCAAGTGGGGACAGGGTAGACGACGACCAGGGGGCGGGAGGGCGCGGAGAGAGCCCGAGGATCCCCGGGACAACCCGGGGCAGGGGGGGGCAGCGGCGGCGGGCACCGGGGGTTGATACCGAGGGGCAGGGCTAGGCGGGCGAAGACGGAGAGGGCGCAGTGGTCCCGCGACCATCAAACCAACAACACCGTCCTGCCGCCGCCGTCGTTCGGCGAAAACGGCGGCCGACCGACCCCTACTTCCTCCTCTTCTTCTTCTTCTCTTCTCTTCTCTCGCCGCCGCCGACGCCCGCTCTCACAAGCGACGGACGTCGGCGACGCGGCGACGGACGTCGTCGACCTCCACCGTAACGCCGCGCTGCGTCCCGCCGTCGTTATCCCGCGGAATAGGATCCATCCCGATCGCGGATGGATCCCTTGCGGCCCCGGCCGCTCGCCGGAGAGCAGTTCTCTTCGAGGAGAGGAGCAACGCGCGGGAGACAAGGAAGAGGAAGCGCAGCGAAGCGAGAGCCGCCAGGTAACGCCAGTCGCGCGCCCGATCCCGATACCGAAGGTCCTTTCCGCCGACGAGCACCCTCGCCGGTTGCGATCGCGCCCGTCGTTCGCGCCTCGACCCCCTTCGGCCGTCCAGCCTAATTAATTAACCCGCTTACGATCGCACCCCTTAATCATCATCGATCGCCGCTTCTCCGACCGGTTCATCGATCTCGATATATCCCCTTATCGCTCCATTTAATCTCGATTGATTTGTATCCTGAATCCGCGGATACTTTTCTATTTTTATTTTCCGTTTTTTCCATTCGATAATTTTGAAAGATGCCGCCATTAGTTTTATTCGTTAATTATTTTTGCTCATTTTTACTTTATACCCTCTTGTGACGTAAATCACTCTTTGATCGTTTGATGTAACTTTTTTCGCGAACGGTGGTTCTTTTGCGCACACATTTTTTGATCGAGATGATAGTGAAATACTATTTACTCAGCGGCGATAGCCCACTAATCTTCGCCGTGATCGACGAATCAGAAAGCACGAGATTGAACTTTTCGAGCAATTTTATTTTCACGTTTTTAACATACTTTTCATTTACATCGCAACCGGAACTTTTTAAATTTTGATCCTAAGTTTCTTTAAGATTTACAAATAAGTGAGACTCTTGCCGACGTTTTTCCGAAATGGAGCTGTGAATTCGATCGATAGTCGTTCACAACCTTCGCAATCTTTTTCCATTTTTTTGCACAATCGGAAAGTCATTTTAACTTGAGCCACTTGTTGGTTTTATTACTTTCTGTTTTGTGTATTTATACCTTGACGGATATTTCCACAGCGGATTAATAATATACGGTCGTACAATTTCGTAACTCGAGATTTCTATCAATCGAACAATCTTCCACTCGTTTCGACCGCGATATCTACCGGGTGGCTGGCCCGCTATCGTTCTTTATCGCTATGTGCCACACGCACGCACGTGGACGTCATTTTCTTCATCGTTCGCCGATTACATCCTCAAACTGTCCCTTACAATTAAATTACTCGCGAGGCTTCCTGCCTCGTTGGAGAATGGATTTTGCTCTCGGGTCCGAATTGTCGCTTACCTCCGAGGAGGCATACGCTGCACACCTCCTGGGGACACCCACTCGCCAATTTTTAATTAAAGCAGATTGAAGAAGAGCCAACATATGGCTCGCGTACATCGGTAAAAGCGCACCGCGCGCATCAAATCGCCATATGTCGTTAGAAAACTGAAACTGTTGCTACCTGTGAAATTGATTCGTGTGAAAACAACAGCGCTCTCACGTGATTATACTGTCTCTTTGAACAACATCCCTTAAAACGATCTCTTACGAAAAAAGATTAAATATATTAGAAACTCTAGGGGTGTAACAATATTAACCCTCGCGTCCGAAAATATTAATCTAAGTAACATTTATTTCTAAAACAAATATTCACGTAGCCTGAAATTAAAATTGTTTCTACCGTTAAAGGTTAACGTCGGTATTTGAGCAACGCTCGTCGTCCTCCTTGGGGTTTCGCGGGGTCAGGGAGAGCCGCGACGCCGCGGCGGCTCTTCTCTCGCGACGTACCCCCGCGCGCGCGCGCGCGCGCAATTTTCGTGACACCCGGTACGCAAGGTGTTCCCCTATTCCGCGTAAGTACATTATGGTGTGTACTGTTGTTTTATCAGTAGTGCAGGATCGCCATGGCTACGAAGTATGAATAAGCCGTAGCCGGCACGTCGCCGCTGCTGCTACCTTGTGCCTAATTACCATTTTCGTAATTTTCTGTCACGAAACTGACTCCGGCGAGCCGGTACCTGAAATCGGTCCCCGGCCACGATCGCGCCCAGGTCGAGTCCTCGCCCAGGCTCTCGAACTACCGCGCTAAGATTCTTCGGGACTCGAGCAGGTTTGTGTGTCTTTGTGATCTACAATCTATGTACTGGTTCCAATATAAATCAATATCTGACAACATAGAACTGTTCCCCCGCTCGTTCTAAGATTAATTATTAATCAATTAATTTCAGTAATACCTTTGCCTTCCGAGCTAAATTTGCATAATTTATCGCCACCTGTATTTTTAATATGTCAAACATTTTAAATAACTAACATCCCACAACGAGTTCTATTAATTTTAATTTCAAACAACGATTTGTGTCGACATCTCGAAGTTTCGATAATAAAAACCTTTTATTTTTCATTGATTCTCCTTAAATTTGTGAATTATACATCGAGTACATAAGGCCAACTGAAATAACTAATGCACAAAACAAGAGGACGCGTTAAAGTAAAAATCGATTCCACGGGGAAACAATTTCGCCCGTCACCCGGAGCACTTTTTATTTTCGCCGACGACACTATCGACGAGCGGTTTAATCGATCCTCCGGATTCCGCCGTCCTCGCGGAGGCGCGACTAATTGCGCGAGCAGCAGTTTCGACGGTTGAACGATGTGTTCCCGCGCGGCAACTTATCGAACTGTCAATATGTGATCAGCTGACGCGCTCGATCGAGGCTGTCGCAGGCGGATTCCTATTTATAGCGTTTCGCACGTCGCGAACGCCGTCGTGCCGCGAAAGGTTGACACGGCGTTCCCTCCCGCCCACCGTCGCTGCAACATTTCTCGAGTGCATCCGAAGGGAAATACTGGGTTTTTTTTTCTTGAGCAAGAGTAACCGATAGAGAACGAAGGTACAAATCTCCGTACGAGCTCCAACAAGGTTGTCAATTTCGAGAAAATATTTCTTATAATTTAAGATAATCCGTTAAAAGGGTTGCATTCGGGAAGAAGAAGTTATTCTTCAGAGAAGAGAGAGGGAGAGGGAGACGTATTAAAAATAATGTAACTGTATAAAGCAATGCGGTATTATTTCATTCGCTGCTATTGTTTCTGCATCTTGGGTATAAAAATAATCCTGCGTCTATAATCCATCACCGTGATTGAAAGACCTTCCTATAGCGAGAAAGATTCAATCATCGCGGACAATCTCTTCCCTTCGTCAACAACTTCCGCAGTCGCCGGCGTATTTTGTCTCGCGATTAAAATTTTCTTAACACCGCGAGTAGACAACCGAGGGGCGAGAATCAGGAAATGAAGACTTTAAGCTGGGTGTCGAGCCGCCAGATTCCGAATTCGTGGGCGAGAAGATCGAAACGCGGAAAATCGCGGAATGACGAAAGAGGCGTGTTCGCGACGCTGACGTGGCGTTAAACGGAGTTCCCGGCCATTACGAAGGACACCGTCGCTGACCTAGGATCACAGAGCTGTCGTGGGCGGCCGCCACCCTCTCCCCCTACCCCGCGCCCGCCAACCCTGCCGCTCTGTCTCCATTACCGCGAACGCGCCAAGAGCATTGGTTTGTTCCAGATACCAGGTAGAGCCATGCGGTTCGCCGGCCTGGTACCGGGCCTCACTCATGAATGGAAGAGGGTTCGCCAGGATCGATGGTGAGGGCGTGCTACCTTCAGGGGAGGATTGGTATATAACCGTGACGTTTCCAACCCCACCTGAGCGAGGGTGCCGCGACGTACACGTGCTCGGTTACGTCACGAGGACGAGCGGCCGCAGGACTCGGGGGCCATTCAGGTATCACTCGCGAAAAGAATCGGGAGGGGGGGGGGGATCCGGCGCTTTCTCGAGGAAGCCCGCCTGGATCCCGGGGGTGGATAAAGAGAAATGAGATTGGTATCACGGTAAGAGACAACAAGGGAGAATGAGAGGTGACACGCGCGTCGCGTGTACAACGATAATAGTCCGTGATTTATTTATTGACGAGTTAATTTATCGATTGACGAGACCGCGGCTTTAGCATCTCGAAATAGCAAGCGTTTCATAAAATCCGCCTCTCGAAATTTCGATCAAACCGCGCTTTTGCCACACTGCGAATCTACCGCGCGTATTTCAGTTGGTACGAGGAACGGGATAAAAATATGCGTGCACGTTAAATGATAGAGAGCTCAATTCTCTCGCTCTTAACGGTACAAAAAAATACTCGAGGAACAACGGAAATTTGGACGAATTTCGAGCACGTTGATTTGCGCGAAACAGGAAGTGATTGTTATTTTAATTTTAAATATATCCTCTTATATTTATAAATGGCTATTATTACATATATCTTTTATTAATCTTGATAAAATTATTGGAAAGTTATGTGAAAGTTAAAAGAGAGCTCGGGGGAAGGACAGGTCGATACATCTCGATCGTGTCAGCGTCACTCTTACCCCTGCGACTTTACAGCGCTTATAATTAGCTTCATACCGCCACGCCCGATTACACACCCTCCTGCCCTTTTGCGTCCCTTGTCCCCTGACTCTTCGGAAACTTCGGAGGCCGGCCGGTTTCATCAACGATTCAATCTTCTTGGTCAAATTAAATCCTTTTCACGCTCGCCGGCAATTAGGCAACTTGTCACGGAACTCTCGCATCTAATTAATTTTTACCGCAACTTTCAGTTAACTCGCACAGAGCGGTAACTGCACGTAGTATACAACAAACAGATTTTAAGTATGGATATCAGTTACGGTGTAAAATGATACTAGTGTATTTCAATATATATTATCAGACGAATACCGAAGTTACGGCAATTATTTCGAAAATGGTGAACAATCCGGCGCTTCGTTCTCGCTTCACGCATGTTATCGGGCCATAACATCGGGCTAGCTGACTCTGCACTCGCTATTAGACGATCCTCGCCCTTCGTCCCCACCTCGTCCGAGAATTTATTTTTTCCGTCGATAATAGGGCATCGCCCTATACGCATATGTCACGTGCGACGGGGGCATTTAAATATCTTCCTATTAAATTCCTGGCCCTCCCGTAGACGAGTGTCCCCCCCCCTCCTCCCCGTTGACGAGGGTTGCGTTTAAACCCCCCTTTGCTCCTCTCTCATTCTCGTTGAGGTAACCCTGACCCACAGCTTCGGCCGACGAGGTTCCAGCCCTTTGAGGGAATGCCCCATTGTGTTGCGAAGACCAAGCACTCCCCCTCCCCCCATTTCCCCACTCGTCCCACTATTCCTTCACGATGGATATGAATTAGCCTTTGCGAAAGGGGGGAACGCGGGATGCAGTGACTGTCGCAGCTACGAACTCACCCTCCGCGGACACGCGCCTTTTAAAACCGAGCGGAACCCTCGGAGAATGTAACTACTTTCTGCCCCCTCGTTTTTTTTTTCGCTCGTCACCGGAAAGTGAAAAAAAATCTGACGTTACGTGACGTTTCCGAGATTGACAGGAGCGTACAGTTTCTTACAACGAGAAATCCAGACAATATCTGTAAAGGCCCATCGCATAGAATTCTTTTTAAGGGTTTCTAAATTTTTTTCACCCGTGAATTTTGCATCTTGGCGTTAACTGCGACTACTTTCGACGATAATTTTACTGTATTTGGCCGCTTTCTTAAATATATCATCCTCTCTTGCATAATAGCGTTTCCTATCATTTTACTCGTATCACATTTGCTTGGTATCTATTACAAAAATTCATTATCAGTGTCTAAATTCTAAACGGTCGTGGCACTTTGGCGATTACGATCCAACTAATCTCACGTTCTGCTTTCTGAAAATATCTCTCCCTCGATTCCCTGTTCACAAGACTCTACGTGATAAAGTAAACGACCGAACCGCGATTAAACGAGACGGTAAATAAATGATGGAACTAAATATAAAGTTGTGGGAAAACCAAAAGAGAGATCGCCGCGCGAGGTGTCATCGCGTCGAATCGGGTTCAATGGCCGAGATGAGAAAAAGCGCCGTTAATGGAAAATAGAGTGTCGAGTGGAGAGTCTCGATTGTGTGCAACTATCAATCAGGATCACCGTCGACGCTGGTTACAGCATCCCATATGCTCGCCGACGTGAAAAGCGCGTAAGCGTCGGCTGCGGCGAGCGGGAAGACGAGAGGGCGGCGGGAGAGGGGAGGGAGGGGTGAGTTTCTCGATTATGCGAATATCTACGAGCACAATGGGACCCCAATGTCAGCTGCTCCCATCATCCCCTCGTCCATCGGGCGACGTGGAGTTCCCGTGCAACCCCTCCCCCCCCCCCCCGCGAAATAAGCAATAAGTTACGTTAGCACTGTGACGAACCACTCCTCCCCTCCACGATCCCCCTCGCGCGGCACCGACCCCCCCTTGACCGAGGGCACGCGCCGGGGTGAACGTCCCCCATAGTGCAGTTTCGGCGTTCATCATGTTCGCTTCGAGCCTGTGCGATGTGTAGCCGGTGTCCCAGAATTAACGCGATCATTAGCAACGGGATCGAGAGAGTCGCTTCCTTTCCTCTTTTCGTGCGCAAGAGACACTTTCTCTCTCTCTCTCTCTCTCTCTCTCTCTCTCTCTCTCTCTCTCTCTCTCTCTCTCTCTCTCTCTCTCTCTCTTTCTTTTTCAGTGAAGGTTAAAAACAAATAAAAAGGTTCTCGAGTGCTCGTTTCTCCGGTTTTCGAAATTTAACATTTAGTGCACGGTATTTGAAGTTTGAAATTTTTACGACTGCGGATAAACGGAACAGTCGGTTGCTTTAGTTGACGAGATTCGGTGAAGAACGGGGTTGAAATTCTTTCCAGTGCGAAACGTTCGGCGTTCGTCACGTGACTGCACTCTCGCGATTGTGTGGACGACGGGTCTCCATTTGGAAAAAATATTCTGCTTCAGTTTCTGACGTATCTTTAAATTATATTGAATCAGTGCGTAATTAATTGTACGCGAAAGGACGTCGATGAGAAACGATCGTTTGCGGTGATTATCAATATCTACTCTCGATTCGAAGGTTTCTTTCGCAAGTGACTCGTTACGCAAGACACATGAAACACTTCGCCTAATTACCGATTAATACACCACCGAAATAAAATATAAATCTAGAGATCCGTCAGATGTGTGCGAAATATTTCCGGGGAGAATCGAAGTTTACAACTAGGGCTGGGTCCCGATGTTCACTGACAGTACTATAAATGTATTATATACGTGATTTAAACTATAGATTTATAGTACTGCCCGCGAATCGGAGCACAGCCTCGAAGTATCAACAAAAGTGACGAAGTGTCGAGTCGGCGCGCAGTTGAAAGTCGAAAAATTGACGCGTAGACAACATTTTTATACTGTTATTGCGACTAATATTAACATATGCCTCAGTGGTCGAATTGGTGAGACGCCCGCCTAGAGTGTAGGGAAGTCCAGGTTCAAACCCTGGCTGAGGTAATATTTTCCGCAATAAATTTTCTCCATTAAAACGCGGGCCAGTTAAGGTCGACCGAAAAGCTTAATTATTGTGTGACAAAGTGTGTTCTCCGAGATTGCCGGATCGTAATTTTGCAAGGTTGTAACGAGTTTCAGTAAGGCCTACCGGTACGCAGGACAATACCTGAAAGGGCGGCAAAGTCGAGACGAAAGGGGAAGTGTGAGTCTGTGCTCCTTGCGTTCACTGCGGGCTTCCATGTGCCAACTTTTCAAAATTCATAAGGCACGCGGTGAATGCCAAGAGCGGACCAAATTCAACGATCTGCATCGACCCGCGATCGAACGTCAGTGCGAATCCATCGAGAATGTCTCAGGAGTGGCGAGTCTCGCGACTCCGATCTCGGTTGGGAAAGGTCAGTATCAAGGGACAACACGACACTCTCTCCGTTTTTGCTTCTCCGTTTAACTTTTAAGGACCGTAAACGACCATTCATTTCTGCTATTTCTTTAAGTACCTAACGGCTAATTACGCAACCTTGTTACACTTCGTTTACTCCCAAAGTTCGAGAGCCTTCGTATTAATTAATATTGTTACCCGTACAATTTATTCGTGAGCTTTTATTTTAACAATTATTAACTATCCTTAATAACAGATTAGTTAAATTAATCGTGATTATAAAAGCGGATGTCTGATTTTGTGAAGCGGTCGTTCGATCACCACTTTTATCTACTTTGGAAGAGCTTATAAGAAAGCGTATAAAGCAACACTATTCCTTAAGATTTAGGAACATAAGATCTGGATAGAATTATCACCTTTTTAATCTTTATTGTGTGTAAAAGACTACTTTTTATATAACATTCTTGTGATATTTAAGTAGTGTGCGCTTTTATCATACTTTTGTGACACTTCATCGTTCAAAATCCTATATAACGTTTAGGAATTTCCTATTTTCAGAATATTTTTCCATTTATCTGTTCGTTTACGAATCAAAGCGCTGACATCCTAACTCAGTCGGCAGACGAAAAGTCGACATGTCGCATATAAAAAGTTAGATATAGATCGGACTCCTGATTTTCTCCCTCAAGCGCATCAAGCATCAAGATAGAAAGAGAAAGGAGGTAGAGTGGTTAGCAGTAATGGTGGAAAACAAGCGCTGCCCGACGAACGGGGGTCGCCGAGGTCGGGTTTAAAGCCGAAAAGCCCCTAAATGGAAATCGGGGAATTCCCAGGGCGTAGAGGATGAGAACGGCTGTCGGTTGTATCGACCGAGACGAAAGGGCGGCGAAGGGAGATGCCGGCGATGGTGGGGATGCTGCGCGGTTTAAGGGTGGACGCACGTTGCCTGGCAACCTTCCCGCAGCATCCCTCCTGGACCACCGCCGCCACCGCCACCGCCACCGCCCCTATCCACCGCCGCCATCGACGACTTCCACGATCATTGTTGTCGTCGTTGTTGCGCGTCCGCCATTATTCAGGATCGATATCTCACCCCGAGATGTCTCGTTTTCTCGATTCGTCGTGATTTCCGTGTGTACCTATGTGTGGGGTGTGCGTGTATTTGCCCTTTTTTTTCCCAGAAGAATCCTGGAACCTGACAATTTGAACGAAAATTGAAAGCTGGAGTTTGTGCAATTAACAGTTTCTTGAAATCGATAAAACTTTCTGAATATGAAACAAGGAAAGAGAAAGTCGAGAATTCAGGAGTTCTCCAGTACACAGTCAGAATCTAGAAAAGTCTCCTAGGTTTCGAAGGTTCCAAGAATCTAAGAGAATTTTACGATCTGAAAGAAAGGAAAACGGAATTAATTTTCAAGTTAGAAAATTAGGATATCTGTAAGAGCTTTAGACGTATTAATATCTCGTAATTCTATCAGAAGGCAAAAGCTTCGAGGCTCTTCGGTTGGAGAATATTTTGTCTGTTAATAATGTCCGTTGTAAAAGTACTTCCATCCCCCACATTTTATATTGTAAAATATTATGTAGAGCACATAAGTGTGAAGAATAAAACGTGTATGCATAGAACAGTTAACTTGCTGCGTCCCATCTCCCTTGTACATCCTACAGACATCATTTTTACTCCTACAAAATTATCAAGTTAATCGAGCAAAAATGTAATTAAGTGTAATTATACTAAACACAACGAAGTATAATTTTTCACTTTGAAATTACGCAGTGCTCAAAGAACAATGTAAACTCTCTTAAACACATTTCTTCAATTTGCGTAAATTTGTTCAACGTCGTTTTTATACACAAATTTGCAAAGGTACTGTAAGAAAAATTAAGAACCATGCAGTACCAACTAACACGAAAAAGTTCCAGTTTCGTTGATCAATTTCTCAGAGTATCTGTACAATAAACTAAGAGTCAAATAAATTCGTAAATTCACGTGGTAACGACTTACCAGCATTGAAAATTGAAAGTAAAACAGAATCTCTTCACTACATCACCATCTAATTACAAAATGTATCATTCAACCCGTTAATAAACGCGTCCATTCATCTTAATAGAAAGTTTCAGCTCCGCCTATGCATATTCCCCTGCTATTTTTCTTAACAAAGACCTGAGAAACTGGCTAAGTGGCAGGGAGATTGATCGTTATATGAGAGCTAACGTAGTGATCCTTTATACTTACTTTCTTCCGCGTTATTCCTTTATGATCCGAGAAAAACGATGTAATCAGACCGGAGGTAAATCTCTTTCTTTTTATATCTCGCGCCAGCTTTACCGCTTTCGACAAGTTTCCCCGAGTGTTTCGGCGGTAGGGAATATCAATTACACGTGAGATCCCGCGCGAACTTTCCACGCAAGGAAATATCTCGTGAACTTTCGGTAATGATAATTATTTTGCCACCTGTTGCAAACCCTACGATCCCGGGCAAAGCCGACGGTATTCGACGGTAACGGGAAACAACAAGACCAGAAAACGAAGATATCGCAGATGGCGCGGAGCGCAAAAAGAAATCGTCTAATTGTAACTAAATTGATTGCAGCGCATCAGCTGTTGACCCCAAAGATCGGCCACGAGCCTGTCCCGCGATTCGCTGAAATCGCCGTCCCGAGATCCTCGCGTTTCTCACACGCGATCGTCGAAGGTAAAAGTAAAAAGGCCGCCATTTCTGGCACCGTCCCTCCCTCCCGCGCGTTGCCCCGAGTCCCCGTCGCCATCCCGTCGTAAATTTCTTCGCCCCATCGACCCTGCGGAGCGTAGGCGCAACAAAGAAATTCAGATGAAGGTCACTTTGCCAATAGGAAGATAGCCTGACGGCGAACGGTAGGCGAAGGGGAGGGCGCGAAGAGGATTCATGCACGCGAAACGGAGGGAGGAGGGGGGGGGTGGGGCAGGCTCGTGAGTTTTCACCCTCCGCGACCCTCCGCGGCTTGTATCGGGAGCCTAGCTTCCATTCAAGCGATGTGTTCTTAGGCACCGCAGCCGATCCCAATCGCGTTAGTCGGCTGTTAACGCGATTATTAACGCGACTTTTGCGACCGTTGCCATCCCCAGCGTCAGGAGAGCACGGCTAGAATCTGCAAACGTTGCTCTTTTCAGGTTTACAAATATATTTTCGCTCGCGCTATTCGTATATGCGAAAGCGTTCGCCGAAATCGCATCGGGCGACCATTTCAGATCAGGTTGCATTATTCACGGAAAGAACAATGTAGCTGCTGTAGCTAAAACTTAGCAAAATAGGGACAGCTAATATTTTTAGTTGTGATAGCTCAATATTTTGCTACGACAGCAAACCGTTTGCTGTCGCACCTAATACAATAGGCACAGTAGCAAAATATTGAGCTATCACAACTAAAATATTAGCTGTCCCTACTTTGCTAAGTTTTAGCTACAGCAGCTATATTGTTTTTTCCGTGTTTTCGTCACATCGCGTAAACGTTTTACAACATTAAAGATTCATCCATTCGTCGTTTCTTGTTGTATTCGCTAGCCTCGTGCCGCGTGATTGTTCCCTGCGGATCTTGATTTCAATCATTTTTATAATTATTCTCTCGGATTTTCAAATAAATAAACTCTAGATGATCAGTAAGTGTATCGGGAGGACAGAAAGATCGACAATAATGAAGCATTAATTTGCACGTAGCGCATGATCTTCGAGCTATTATCTGACAATTATAGATCGACTAAATATAAGAATCTAAGATAATTGAGGCCGTTATTGCGTGCTACGAAAGAAACGGCCTCATATTCGTCCGCAGTTGACTTAATTGGACTTCGGATCTACGAGATATCGCGGAGCGAAAGAAATTCTACGGGATGGAGGGCGAGAGTGAGAGAGATTGAGAGGGAGCAGAGTGCACTTTATGAAATTGCATCGGGTATAATCACATATTTTCTTCATGGCTCGAGTCGCGGCTTAATTCGAATGATGGTACTTCGCACGAAGAACGCGGGCGAAGGGATGAGAAACTAAGGAAAGGCACTGCGACGGGAAATAAGCAAGATGAACGAGAAGGGAAGAGGAAAATAAAGGACGGCCGGGGTCGAAAGAAGTGAAAGGACGCGACGATTGCAGGTGGCGGATGAAGAACTAGTGCAAATCGGGGAGGGAAATAATTACAAAATTAATCAACTTTATCCGCTAATTTGATGGAAAAACAATCGTCTGTCCCTCGTCCGTAAATTATAGATCGAATTAGATAACCGTGAATTGATATAGGGTTGCCTGGGCAAAGGTGGAGGACACCTGGCCGAGAAAGCGTCGCGGGAGCTGACAGGAAAGACGCAGAAGTTTCAGGTCGGGGCGAGGAAGAGGAAGGGCACGCGCGGCGGGGAGAGGCGGCGGAGGATACGGCCGGGGAGAGAAATAATTCTGCGCTTCTTCTCCCGAGGAAACTTTCGGACTGGTTCGCGGAACACGCGCGACACCGAGAAACATCGCGCGTGAGACGTAAAATTATACAATGAGAAATACGCTTCGCGTAATAATCGCCAGGGAACGTAACGTAACGGAGAGGGGGAAACAGAGAGAGAGAGAGAGAGAGAGAGAGAGAGAGAGAGAGAGAGAGAGAGAGAGAGAGAGAGAGAGAGAGAGAGAGAGAGAGAGAGAGAGAGAGAGAGAGAGAGAGAGAGAGAGAGAGAGAGAGAGAGA